CCCAAATAAGGTGATGATGATTGTTTTTTCATTTATTTTAGCTTAATGTTTTAGCTATTTTTGATTAGAAGGAAAAATGGGGCCATACTGGGCTGGGACTGGAAGCAGAGAAGCTTCCTCTTGCAGGAGATGGGAGCTATACATGGAGACCCACAACTGGACAGTGTGCAGAGACTGAGAGACTTGGGAGCACTTGGCTCTGAGTGGGGTGTCATCATCAAACCCTTCCCCTCAGGGCTCAGGGAGGTATGAAGAAAAGGAAGTAGAAGGCTGTAAGAGCCGGAGGGCAGGGATGACAGCAAGGACATAGTGTCTCCAGACAACAGGACTGACGCACACATGAACTCAGAGACTGTGACAACACGCACAGGCCTGCACAAAGAGGCTGCTGGCCCTGAGAGGGGAGAGGAGACACAAGCCCAGAAGCTATCTCCAACTGACAACCACTTGCAAAGGAAAAATTAATTTTCTCCAGCGAAGTCTCACTGGATATATAAACCACACTTAAAGGCAGGCCCCATGTATATAGATGGCAACACAAAATGAATTCAATGGTATTTTTGTAGACTTTTTTTTTTTGCCTCATATTAATTTGTTTGGGCATTTTTTATCTCATTGATCTTTTGCTTGTAGGGTTCCCAATCTTTTGTTTATATGGGTCGTTTTGTTTGTTTGTGTGTATATCTGTGTGCATGTTTCCTGTGCTTTTTTGCTATTTTTATAATCCTTTTTTAAATTTGCTGTTTGTTTTCTAAATAGAGAAAGGCATAGAGCTGGATGACTAAGAGGGTCTGGAAGGAGAAACCATGATCAGATTATGTTGTATGTATTTTCAGCAGTTAAAAATGTGTGAGTGTGTATGCACGAGCATGTACCAGGAGAGAAAGCACTCACCCTGGGCTCACCGGCCGGCTAGACTGGCTGGCCAGCACTGGGGGACAGATATTCTACATGCAGAGCTTTCAGGCCTGTGCTAAAGACCCAAACTCAGGTCCTCACCCTTATGCAGCAGACATTTCACTGACTCACCCCAATCTCCTAATTTAATACTTTTGAGACAGAGTCTCACTACTTAGCCTAGGCTGGTCTTGGTCTTAAATCCTGTCTCTACCTCCTGAGTGCCAGGACTGCAGGATATACTGTCACCTTGCTGCTTTATTTTTATGATACTTTGTTTTCTCAGATATACGATTTACGCACAGTTTCTTACTAACTGCATAGAAAGAAGCTTGAGCACAGGAACATTGCTTTGAGGGCAGGGCATCGTTCAAGCTAAGAAGGTTCTGGTGGTTTAGAAAGACGTTTCCACCAGATGAACATTAGTGCTGTTACTCCCATTTTCTCATGCACAGTATCATTATGACAAGAACACATGGATAAAAATAACTGTTTTCCTTTGATTTGAGATGTCACTAAGCTAAAAACCTAACAGGCATGCCTCCCAGAATAATTAAAGTTTGTTTCCCTCTCAATATTTAAAGGTAAGGTCTCACTATGTAGCACTGTCTGGCCTGCTGCCTCCCACTCACAGAGATCTGCCTGCCTCTGGCTCCTGAGTGCTGGGATTAAAGGCATGCGCCATCACATCTGGCTTGTTTCTTATTTTTAAAATAAGAGCCATGTTTGTTGGTTTAGACTACCTTATGACTGTGTTCCTAAATCCAGTGCACTTTTCAGAACACCACATAGGGCTTTTAGTTCCCACTGCAGCAGAAGTTCACAGATATTTTTGGGAAAAAAAAAAAAATCTTGTTTGCTAGATAGGACAACCTGAATTTCTCTTTCCTAACCACTACCATGAACACATTTTTAGATGAGCAGGAATTCCAGAATGGCAGTGCACAACTAGGGGTAAAATGGCAGCCATGGCTGTTCCTCTGCAACCATCTCCTCAGCTCTTCCTGACTGGACACTCCCTCTCATGTGGTATTTGAAAAGCACAACCTCTGAGCAAAAGCAAGACAGAAGTTCCTCCTGTAAGAGATGTTTACAAGATCCAGGACTCCTTATGGAGGGATGCCACGAATATCCAACATCCACATTCTACCTGAACCCTCACCATCTCTTATGAGACCCCTGCAGTGACTTTTTAACTGGTTTTCCTCCTCAATTAAGACATCCTCTTATTTATTTGTTGTGTGTATGCCCTCATGTGGCAGTAAGAAAACTTCTGGTGACTGTTTTGGTTTCCATGTGGCTGCAGGGATTGAACTCGGGTGTCTGTTACACCTCTCACACACTTACCATTGCTTTTAGCAAGTGTCTTTACACACTGAGTCTCAGGACGCCTCTGACACTTGTCACTCGGCTAATCCTGAAATATAGCCCTGGCTGGATGTCTTCTGTTCAAGATGTTTCTAACAGCTCCAAGGGCCTACAGCATGTCACAGCCTTCTGGCGTTTAGGATTCAAGTCTCCCATGTAACCTCAGTTTATTTTCCAATATATTCTATTATTTGATTTCACATCCCTCTCTTCCTCTCCCAACTGCTACACTTCCTTTTTCTTCTGCTGTGTTTTAGTTTGTACTATTTTCATGTTCTACAAAACCATTTTTAAGCACACAGAGTCTCGTCATGTAACCCAGACTGGCTGGGCTCATGGTTCTCTTCCCTCACCTCGGCCTCCATATTGTTGGGAATATGTGCTGCCACACCTGGCAGCATAGTAGGAAATGAGGTACACACTTACACTCACTGCACCAAGATCCCCACGACCAAGCATTTGTCAGTGGATGGCTGGATACGGAAACGAATCTTATAACAAACTGTGCTAATTTACAAACCAGTACCAACCAGTGATAGGTAAACATGGAGAACTTTGTTAAGTGAAACAAGCCAGGTGTTCAAAGTAAAGTATCACCAGAGCCATCGGGGAGAGAGCTAAGAGCCCTGAAGGATGTACTTCAAGCAACAACACTGTATAGAAATTCCAGAGCTTCACTCTTTTAAAGGAAACTCATATTTTTACAAGCGCCTCGTTGTGATTTAATTATCTTTCAAATGTACGATGGCTACAAGTGATGCAGCTGCTGTGACAAGGAGCTTGAAAGTGGCGTCATCTCTACCTCATAAATATTAGTAGCCTGCTTTATTTAAAAAGCAAAATCAGGCCAGTGTGCTCACCTTTAATCCCAGCACTTGGGAGGCTGAGGCAGGCAGATCTCTGAGTTTGGGACCAGCCTCCAGACTGTTCTATATAGATGAGTTCTAGGCTAGCTAAGACTACAGAGTGAGACCATGCCTCAAAAGAAAAAAAAAGGGCAAAATCAGTCTTCTAAATGCTCATAAGACAATGATGCTCCTTTGAATGACACCAAGCTACTCTTTGTATGGCTAATTACTAATTCAGCAAGATTAAGACATAAAAAAAATCTTTTTTACAAGTGACTAAATTCTTTTTCAATTATGACTAACCATTTTGTAATTAGCACATTTATGTTTAAAGTGAATTGAGACAGCTAGTTTATACTATAAAGACTAAGTTCAAGTTCAAATAAATAAAACAGTTCATCTGTGCTGAATGTTGCTTTGAGGTATCAGCTGTACTAAGGTACTCTATGATAAATGCACGGGGCTCAGTGGTCATGGCCAGGTCTGCACAGACTGAACTGACTGGCGCATCTGGGCATGGGCCCATGGGTATATGATACAGCCCCTGTGTCTCTTCTCAAGGCTGAAAATAACAACACTGCCTCTCAGTCTGTGTAGGAGTCATGAAAAGAATACTGGAAGTAGCCAGACAGGGCCTGACACAGTTAGCAGCATCCTTGATCACCTGTCAAATGCCGTCCTGAGCAGGAAGCTGGAGACATCAACTGGCCAGGGACATACTAAAGAAGCCATGTGGTTGATATTCGCAGCAATTCCAGACAGCAGGAGACAAATGAAACCACTGTGCTTTTATACAGCTTGGAATAACAACCTGTGGTCTCAGTCATCTTCTGGGGGGAGGGGTGGTGTCTTAGAACATAGTCTGTACATTAATTACTTAATATTAGTAACAAAACAGAAGCTATTGTCATTATTCTTCCAAAAACTAAAATGTGGGTCAAAGGGTTATTGTACTCCTCAAGGCTTATGCTCATGCACAGCTGCAGGACCTGAATTGGTAGCTTGGCTATGGGACTGGCCCTCTGACACCATGTCTACTATCTATTCCATGTCTTTCCTCTCCATTGTCCTGTCAATCTCTTGATGCTAGGCACGGAACTCAGGGAAAGCCAGGCATGGATTCTACTACTCCATCTCTAGACCCTTTGAGGTCTTAAAGTTAAAAAAACAAACAAAGCAAAACCTTAATGTTTGCAAGGCTGATGAAATCATGATTGAAACAATGTTTATTGCTACAAATGTGTACGACAATAGCCGGTCAAAACAGATAAAAATCAAAAGTGGAATTGCATCTGATTCAATGCTGATTGCCCTCGACTGGATTTGGAGTGGGGGCTAGTAAAGCACACCTCAGGGTGTGTGTGTGTAAGGATGTCTAAAGACAATGGACCTGTGGAGGAGAAACTGAGGGGGAAGTCAGTAGCTGTCCATGAGACGAGTGTGCAGAAGGAAGAGGGAGACACCAGCCCACAGGCACAAGTGCCTTTCTTCCTGACAAGTGTCTCTCACTGCTACGGTGCCCTGAGGACAGCAGAGTCCAGCAGCTTCTGTCAAGGCCTGGGACTACACGGTAGCCCCCCTTATCCTGAGGTTTCCAGCTTTGTGGATTGATTAGCTGTAGGATTCTCTGTTTTCAATATATAAATAGCCACTGCTAGACCATCCGATAGATCTGAGGAACTTTGTAACTCTGAAGAGGTAATATCAGTGAGTTGATTCTAATACATTTAACACTGCTTTATACCTTATATTTTGTTTACCTCAAATTCTTTTTATCTTAGACATGGAAATTTGCTAGTTATTAGATATTATGTAACTAAAATTCAAAAAGTAAGGTTCTATGGAAATGACAAAATATACTGAGTGCGTTTTTCCAAACAACCTTACCTCAACAGGTGATGGGGAGCTTGATGGTAGCAGGAAGGGAGCGACAGCCATCTGATGGACTGCGTCTTCGTTTCTGTGAAATCATCAAGGAGAAGAATCAGTACTTGAAAAAGGTTAAGTTTCTGACTCAAATTACAAATACTTCCTTAGTTCTCAGTTAACGTGTGCATAACACCACAGAATTAAACATGTATATGGAGAGATCGACACACAAAGCTCTTACGCAAAGACAGGTGTTGTGCTCGAGAGATACCCGGATACAATTACTAATGAAGAAGAATGGGAATGCCATGAGTCAGTAAATCGGGCTTAGGGCATCTGATGCTGAAGGAGATAATTTTGGAAAGGTGTCAACTCTTTCGACATTGTGGAATGTCAGATTTTCAAACACTGGGCACCGCCTCTAGGTCCCACTCATGTTCACAGTGCTGTGTTCTTTGGACTGGAGGGATTCCCAGCCCCCTCATTTGTCTTCAAACTTTGTTCTGCAAATGAAGAATGTCAAGCTATCTATAGAGGCCCTGCATGGCAGACTGTGAGGAGCAGTGATGGATGGGGAGAGAGGAACTCTGGGAAGATGATGCCTTGTGGTTATGTGAATGCTGCCTGCCATCTCAAATGAGCAGAGCAGGGAGGAGCTAGCATCTAATCAGATGGGGACAGGAGCACAGCCATGGCTAAAATGCCAGTTCTGATCATGTGGCTCATTTCTGTGCTGCCAGCGGACAGTAGGCAGTGCCTTGTGGGGGATAACGACTGTCATCCATTATTCACCCATCATGCGGGATCAATGTAATTAAGCTAGGATTTACTTATGTGAAGCTTTATCTTTCACAAATAAAAGCATGAAAACTCACAAATATTATAAAATATTATGTGACTAAAAATAACATAATATGTTAAGTAATGTGCTTAACATGTGGAAGCTGGTGATGTAGTTCAGTGCTAGAATATTTGTTAACCACATCGAGGGCCTGAGTTCGATCTTAGCAGTAATAAGGGAAAAATAAACAAACATAAGGCCCCATATGTCTCTCCACATAGAAAGGTGATTTACCTGACTTGGCAGCTGGGTAACAAGTCCACTGGTCCATGTCATTCCTACTTCAGACTTCAGTCATAGTCATGTCCGTACGTCCTTGAAAGGCCTGTCTTTAGCCAATTTATAAACCCTATCCATCCTTCTCAGTATCATTCAATAACCTCAACAAGATGACTGGCTCCACTCACAAGGGCCACGTTTACCTTTATTCCACTGACATATCTGGCTGGGGTCTCCTCCTGAGCTCACCATCTGCACATTGTCTAACTCCCCACTTTAAGGGTCTCTACCGCATGTCTGACAAACATCGCGAGAAAAACAGAGCTCAGTCTTCCTCTCAGTCTCCAGAACTCTCTGTAGCTGATTCTCACCTGAGTGTTCACAAAGACTTGCCTTCCTGTTTAACCAGGAACTAAGAGCCTTTGAAAATTTGGTCTGCCAGTACACGTTGATCATATCGGCCCCCACGATTCTCTCATCCCTTCCCTACCACTGAACCTGCTCTTCCTCCCTGTAAGTCCCTTTCCTACTTTCACACCTACCTGTGTGTGTCCAGCTGCATTTAATTAGGATCACTTGCATGAACACAGGTGGTGCGCTGAATCTTTCTAGAAAAAACTCATCTCTCGGTGGCACTTCCATTCCATGAACAAGTCCTGTGACTCGATATTCAAAATACATCTTTAATCTCTTCACTGCCTCCCAGCCTACCCTATGTGCTGGCCACCACCATTTTTCACCCCAACTGAAGAAAGATTTTTATTTGATTTCCTGTCTTATGTTTCTTAGCATCTTCACTGAAGTTCATTCTTCACCCAGCAAAGTTATGGTGGTTTTAATCGATAAGCCTGACTATACTAATCACCACCCTTGCCTCCCCTCTTTGTTATCATCTTTGTTCTGACCATGAACTTTTATCTTTCTTACATGATGTTATACTTCTCTTCTGGCTTTAAATCATCCTACAGCTTCTCTTACATTGAAGAGGCAGTCTCTACTGTGTTACTCCTGGGAGCAACCTACCTCTAGCTGTGGGGATTTGAGGAATCACTTCTCAAAGTCTTTGTTTCTACACTGTTAATGGAAGCAGACTGAACTATCCGAATCCTAAGATGGAGAATATTCTTTGGGAAATGAGGCTGAGTATAAGGAAATAAAGGGGTTGAGGAGATGGCTAAGTTGATAAAGTGTTTGCCATACAAGCCTGAGGACCCGAGTTTGGGTCCCCAGTATCTAAGTAAAAGCTTGTGCCTGTAATCTGCTGGGAAGGTGGGGACAGGTGATACCTGGAGTGCCATGGCTAGCCAGCCTAGAAGAATTAGCAAGTTCCAGGTTCAATGAGAGACCCTATCTCAAAGAAATAAAGTGGAGAATGAGAGACGAAACTCTCAACACTGACCTCTTGCCTCCGACTGCATGCACAGACACCTGTATACATATATGTATACATAAACATGTACACACATTTTTAAAAAGTAAAGTATAAATATCATTTCTCATTTTGTTCATTTTTTTGGATTGCCCAGTACTTGAACTAAATCAAAACAAGTGTGAGAAAATCCAGAACTATAAAGTGCTATAGAACATGGAGAATTTGTTTTTTTTTCTGATAGCATTACTGATGCCGTGAACATACCACAAGTATGTATGTATGTAGAAGACTACAATTACAGGAGTAAAATCCAGTATTCAGTAGTTGCTCACACACAAAAAAAGCAGTCAGCTAACATGGAGTAAGTAATGGATTTTCCCAATGGTAACTGCCCTTCCCATTCAGTTTTCCCCATTGAATGGACCTGTGAGCAAAAAGCAATTGGGACACACCTGATACAGATGTGGCGTTCACAGGGCAGGGAGAACTAGGAAGTAACTAAGTAGACGACTTTCCCTTTCTCTCTCAAAGACTACAAGCATTGAAAACATGGCTGCACATATATTTTGAGGTCATGATTAATTGTCTCAGGACAGCTTAAATCAGGTAAGCTATCTCCTTAAAATTTAATAATTTCCTACAAGTTTGTATGACTTCAATGTCATTAAAGTCCACTAATTTTTTTTAACCTCACATAGTAGAAAACCTACAAGTACTCTTAGTGGACAGAATAAGTTACAATTCATAGTCTTTTATAACCCACTCAGTAGTGAGTTCACACAGCCCCCATCAAGTTGTAGAGAGTGGCATCATAGTGGCTTCAAAGAGGGAAGACACAGGAGAAGAAAAATGGAAAAGAATTGGCACTGCAAAAAAACAAGGACTTCTTGAATTTTGCATACAAATGGATGGAAATAGAAAACACTATCCTGAGTGAGGTAAGCCAGACCCAAAAAGAGGAACATGGGATGTACTCACTCATATTTGGTTTCTAGCCATAAATAAAGGACATTGAGCTTATAATTCATGTTCCTAGAGAAGCTAAATAAGAAGGTGAATCCAAAGACAAACACATAGGCATCCTCAGGAATATTAACCTTCATCAGGCGATGAAAGGAGACAGAGACAGAGACCCACACGGGAGCACCGGACAGAAATCTCAAGGTCCAAATCAGGAGCAGAAGGAGACGGAGCACGAGCAAGGAACTCAGGACCACGAGGGGTGCACCCACACACTAAGACAATGGGGATGTTCTATTGGGATCTCACCAAGGCCAGCTGGCCTAGGTCTGAAAAAGCATGGGATAAATCCGGACTAGATGAACATAGCGGACAATGAGGAATACTGAGAATTCAAGAACAATTGCAGTGGGTTTTTGATCCTACTGCACGTACTGGCTTTGTGGGAGCCTAGGCAGTTTGGATGCTCACCTTAGGAGACCTGGATAGAGGTGGGCAGTCCTTGGGCTTCCCACAGGTCAGGGAACCCTGATTGCTCTTCGAGCAGATGGGGGGGGGGGGACTTGATCGGGGGAGGGGGAGGGAAATGGGAAGCGGTTGTGGGGACGAGGCAGAAATCCTTAATAAATAAATAAATTTAAAAAAAAAAAAAAAAAAAAAAAAAAAGAATTGGCACTGCAAACAAGCAGTGGGCCAGGTGACATCTGTGGAGACTTCAAGTCCTCAACAGTCTAAAGATTCTCCTAAAGAACCAAATCTATTTGCTTTATAATCAAACTTTTATTTTTTTAAATGGTTTTCAGACACGTTCTCTCTTTTTTTTAAAAAAATATTTATTTATTATGTATACAATGTTCTGTCTGTTTATATGCCTGAAGGTCAGAAGAGGGCACCAAACCTCATTACAGATGGTTGTGAGCCCCCATGTGGTTGCTGGGAATTGAACTCAGGACCTTTGGAAGAGCAGGCAATCCTCTTAACCACTGAGCCATCTCTCCAGCCCCCATAATCAAACTTTTAAACAATGGTGAAAGTGTCTGAGGCACCCATATGAGATACCACGTGGAGTTGCAGGTGTTTGTATTTTATAATTATCCTAAGCGCTGATGGAGAGAGAAGACAATGAAGTTCCATCACAGACGAGAGTTATTCCAGGGTACATTTCCCTGTGTGTACTGCAGTGACCCTAACCCCTGGGGACTGTGTTCGAAGACACCTATTGGATGCCTAAGACCAAAGTAATGGACCCTACTGATACTCTGTTTTCATATGCACAGTGTTCTAGTTTCCTGTGTGCTGCTATGATAAAAACACTCTGACCAAAAGAAATTATGGGAGGAAGGATTTATTTGGCTTACAATTAACAATGCAGCCAGCCATTTAGGGAGTCAGGGCAGGAACTCGAGCAGAAATTTGAAGCAGAAACCATGGAGAAATACTGTTTGCTGGCTCATAATTAGCTAACTTTCTTAGAAAGCTCAGGACCACAAGAGATGGTGCTACCCACAGTGGACTATCAATTAAAAACTAAGACAATTGAAATTCTCTTCTTAGATGACTCTAGTTGTGTCAAAATGATAGTTAAAGGTGACTAGGACACAAGGTTCTCTAGGATGCTTTCAGACAGAGAAATTAACACAACATAGAACAATAACAAGATAGTTATGTGAATAGGCTATCATTTTAAAGAGCTAAGGCA